GATCCCAGCAAAAAGCGGGGCGATCGGATGTACAGAGCTCGAGATATCAGCATCCAAAGTCTGGGGCTCAAGGCTCTGTACATCTCTGCTTTTTAAACTGAGTGGCAGGTGGGGGCCCTAAAGTAAAATAATGGGGGGGGACCTATTGTCATCCCCCTGGTCCCCACCCCTGAGCGGTGGGTGGGGGCCCTAAATTAGAATAAGGTGGGGACCTAATGCCCTCCCCTCTGGCCCCCACCCCTAAGCGGTGGGTGGGGGCCCTAAATACTAATAAGGGGGGGACCTAATGTCCTTCCCCTGGCCGCCACCCCTGAGCGGTGGGTGGGGCCCTTAAATTAGAATAAGGGGGATCTAATTTCCTCCGGCGGATGGGGCCCTAAAGAATAATTTAACCCCCCCCCCAGGTGACAAGGGGACCCCAAACCCCTAGTCACTCATAACTCTCTGATTGGTTACTGTCAATCCACCAATCAGAGTGTTGTTATGAGTCAAATTACACAGTGTGGGAAAATTCCAAAGAACTTTCCCACGCTGTGTAAAATGACACAGGGCACTCAGAGTGGTGTGACAGGTAAATGTAAAGAACTGTCAGTCTCTTCATTTACCTGTCAGAGCACTCTGATTGGATGGCTTAAACCTACCAGAGTGCTCTGAGCCTAATTGCAGGGCGGGGCAATGCTTTATAAGCCTTCCCCATGCCCTGCAGAGCTCACTCTGCGCAGTGCCCTCCATGGGTGAAGATGGGTTATTTTTTTTTGCGCTCAGGTTTTTTGCCTGATTGCGACGGTCATTATGGATTTTTGTCTGGCCTTTTTTGGGGCTGAAAAAAAAGTATTTTTTTTTTTTTACAGGTACTTTTACAGGTACTTAGTTAATGGCCCCCCCTCATTATTTTTAGGGTGAGGGGGTAGGCAGGGGTTATTGTTTTTTGGGAGGGGGGTGACTAGGGGTTTGGGGACCCCTAGTCATCTAGGGGGGTATATCATTATTTAGGGCCCCCACCCGCCGCTCAGGGGTGGGGGCCAGGGGGAGGACATTAGGTCGTCCACCCTTATTCTAATTTAGGGCCCCCAGCCGCTACTCAGGGGTGGGGGCCAGGGGGGAGGACAATAGGTTCCCCCCTTATTCTTTTTTTTTTTTTCAATGTGTTTTATTTTAAGCGTATTTTTTCATCATCGTATAAAACAGAATACGAGGTATATCAAGGGGTACAGAAGAGAAAAGGGAAAAGGGGAGGGGAAAAAGCAGCTTATATAGGTTTCCACATGTCATTCAGTACAGTACAATGTAATACAATATGGTTCAACTAACAGTGCGGTTGTCTAACAATCCGTGGTAAGAGGACATTATTGGCAATACAGTTAACATGTGATCCTCATATTACATATTAAAAATGAACAAACATTTTAAAAGTGAACATACATTAAAGCATTCTGGCTTAGTCGTAGGGGTGCAGCTATATGAGCCCATGGAGTAGGAGGGGGGGAAATCCGGATGGGGTTAGTGGCCGGACTACGGCCCCTGGTGCGCCTCTCCCTCTCTATAGAGCACCCAACTCTGCCATCTTGATTTATACCTACTTTGGCTATTTGTCAGCCGGCTAGCCATACGTTCATAAGCATGGGATGAGTCCAGCCTGCTGAGGATTTCTGGCAGTGTTGGTGTCAGTGGTGATTTCCATCTATGTGCGATGGCAGTTTTGGTAGCCATGAGACAATGAATCGCGAAAGGGATTGCTTCCATAGGGAGGGTATTCAGAAAAATATGTAGTAGAAAGCACTCTGGGGATTGGGGAATTCGCACTCCCAAAATTTTGTACAGAAGAGCGTGTATATCCCGCCATCATGTGATAATAGACGTACATGTCCAGTATATATGTAAGAGGGACCCTTCGCTATTGTGGCATCTCCAACAACTTGCGTCAGAGCCCGGGTAGATACGGGCCAATTTGGTGGGGACTAGATACCAACGCATTGTTAATTTACAGTATGTTTCCCATTGATTAAGGCTATGGGACGCCTGTTTGGTTAATCTTTGGGCGCGATGCCATAATTCATTAGAAAAATGCTTTCCTAGGTCTGATTCCCATTTAGACATATACGATGGTTTGGACAGATTGTCGTGGAGCAATAGAGTGTTGTAACATAGAGATAGTGCTTTAGTTTTTGGGAGCTTGCCCATGCATATGTGGATGAAGGGCGGTGTAGGATCGGATTCCCTCAGGCTAATCCCGCTTTCCTGAATTATATTTTTTAATCTGAGATAGGAGAATAATTCCCGTGAAGGGATATGGAATTCCCTGATCAGGTCTGGGAAGGGCTTGAAGCCTTCAGCGGACAGTAGGGAACGAACATGGGTGATCCCCTGCTTAAGCCAGTTGTCTAAGTGTATGTTTGAGGTTCTTGTAGTCAGGGCTTGGAGTGGGGCAGCTAAGAGTAGGTCGTTATTTCGTAAGAAGAGGGTTCCCCCCTTATTCTAATTTAGGGACCCCACCCGCCGCTCAGGGGTGGGAGGCTGGGGGGAGGACAATAGGTCTCCCCCTTATTGGTATTTAGGGACCCCACCCGCCAATCAGGGGTGGGGGCCAGGGGGAGGACAATAGGTCCCCCCCATTATATTACTTAAAATTTTCCCCATGCACATGCCTAGTTCGTATCACCGAACGCCCACTAGGGGGAGCATTCGCCTCCCAAACCGTCCTGCACGCATTGTCTTCGATCCCCGAGCCGGGGATTGTCCTACCCGCTCCCAACAGCCTCTTGTTCCCTTGTGGTCTGCGGTTTTCACCCCTTGTTCCCAGTGTGGTTAAAACGCAATTTGCAGGATTCAATGTGAAAATTACATGGAGGGGGAAAATTAACAAGGGAAAACATACATTCCAGGAGAATAATTACACACATCGGAAGGGCAATTCACAGTCAGGCAGTGGTCCTGCCACAGTAAGTAACATGATACAAAAAAGGTTTTTATGGTCAGTATATACTGTTATAGGGTGAGTTGTACCCTCCAGGGCTTGTTTTATAGCTAGTAGCTTTTTGTCTCCAACATTGTAATTTGATTTGACCTTGGTTAGTCTTTTAGAGTAAAAGATGACAGGATGCAGGGTATCGGTCTCTTCATACCTTTGGGAAATGATTGCTCCGGTAATCGTATCAAAAGCGTCGACCTCGAGATAGAAGGGCATATGCTGTTTGGGTATACGCAGTATAGGAGAAGTGGTGAACATGCGTTTCAATTTATGGAAGGCGGTTTGAGTCTGGTGATTCCAATGCCATTTTATGTCTTTCTTGGTGAGGTTTGTGAGCGGTTGTACAATATGAGAAATATTACATATGAAATGTCTGTAGAAATTGGCGAAACCCACAAACTGTTTGGGGTTCTGGCCATTGTTGCATTGCCTGGACCTTGCGTAAATTCATCTCAACTTTGCCAGGCCGGGGGATGAATCCCAGGAACTAAACACAAGTTGTTTCAAAAATACATTTCTCTATCTTTGCACATAACTTGTGTTGTCTGAGGCGTTTCAGTACTTCCAGGACATGT